GGCAGAGAATCCGCGGTGCGCCTAAATTATTGACTATAGCGCTGTTAGAGGCAAAAATTTCTATTTTTTCCCGTAAGAATGTCATATCAATGCCAGGCAAAATCATGTTCATTTGTCAGAAAACCCATTACAAGTCCGTAGATACCATTATCTCGGCAAATAAAGCGGCAAAACAGCTATTTTCCGGCGAAAAAACAAGCCCGACACAACCGGGTCGCCATCTTGTTTCATTTGGTGTGCACTCACGGCCCGACTCTCGCGAGACTTGATATCCTTATACCATTAGAGGGGTCAGGTGACGAGATCTCGCCTTCAAAACTTGTGCAGTGCGAGCCTTGCAGTGCAGTGTAGTGCAGTGGACCTAGCGCGACCGGTAGTCATACACGATGTTTCCATCTGGCCTAAATTTGGGGGGAAACCAAGGAGATAAATATCTTTATCAGCCACAAATATTTGATTGTTGGCAAAAGTTTGTGTTTGAAAAGAGATCCTCCCTCATGGCCCAGGAGCGCGCAGGATAGGGAAGTTTGGCAATGCCTGACTGATATGATTTTCTACTAGAACTCCTCTAAGGAAAACTTGGGCAGATCGCTGTTGTGCAGACTTTTTCATTTGTTCAAAGGTCAACTGAAACTAAGTTGTAGATTGTTTTGATACAGTTGAAGAAATAATTAATATTAATAGCAACGTTTCAACTCAAGGTATTTAGACATTTGTGTAGCATTATTATTAAATAATTATAGGCAATTCCAAATAGATTCTTCCCCTTGTTTTCTACTCTGTCCTTTTTCCATGAGCTTTTTTTATTGTCTTTTATTTTTTTATGAATTATTTTTGTCAATGAAACTACTTCAGACATGTAGTGTAATACCTGAAAAGTTGTAAAAAATAAAGAAGATTGTCTTCATTGTTGTGGAAAACCTGTACCTTTAAGTTTAATGTTAACAAAATGGTTTGAGTAGCAATGTTAATATTGTTATCAGTTAAGTGTTTTTTTTTCCAAAAAAATAAAAGGATTTCATTGTTGCAATGATAAATGCATAGATATATGTCATTTATATTTTGGGCAAGTGAAAATGACCAGGCACTTGCCCGATAGGGTTGGATTTTAGAAAACTTGTCCAACCCTGCAGAGGCCTAGGAGACCGACATATCAGTCAGCCTGGCCTAACGACTGAGATGAAGTGACTTTGAACACATTAAAGACAGTTACTTTTAAAATCATTGTTTGGTCTTTCATTTATCACAATTCTTTTAGTACAAATGGTGAATTTAGATTTTTTTTCTATGATAATGAAAGAATTATTAATTGTCTGCTTAGGTACATTATTCTCTTGGCTTCTAAATTAAAAAGTACTTTGCGCGACCAGATTTTTTGTCTGCGCGCCCAAATGTTTGCCTGCGCGCCTAACTTTTTGAGGCTAGGAGCGCATGCGCTCCTAAGCTAAAAATTTAGTCTGGAGGGTTGCTGTACCACGTGTTCAGGCAAATATATTCGTGTAAAAGAGTGTTCATCAACTTCATGGTTGTCTTTTCATAATCCTGTCACTCTTAGTGTTACACCAGGCTAATTTTGCATAAATATTGTCTGTTCAAACTGTTCTGTGGATGACTTGATCTTGTTAAAAAGAAATTACATCATCTTATATACTGCTTAGCCCAATTTGCATCGGATTACAAGCAGCTTTACATCTGCTGAGCACTTAATAATATTATATATGTATCAAGGTGACATTTCTATTATTTAAAAATAAGTTTGTAATAACATGAATTGAATTTGTTTATATTTTACTATTTGCGTCACAGGTTTTTCGACTGTTTTCTAGTTGGGGTCAGTAGAGCAGGTCAGGGGTTACATGGAGACTTGACATGTAAATCAAGTTTATTTCACCCCTGTTGTAGATCATCATGTCGAGGTATGGGAGAGATCCGCGCGACCAGTGTCCCCTGGACTGCAAGGTCTACGTGGGGGACCTGGGTACCCGCGGGAACGAACGGGAGCTTCGAGACATCTTCAGCTACTACGGCCCCTTGAGAAACGTCTGGGTGGCTCGCAATCCGCCGGGCTTTGCGTTTGTGGAGTTCGAGGACCCCCGTGATGCTAAGGATGCCGTCAAGCACCTAGACAGAAGGTATACCTCAGCAGCTGCCATGACATGAATATGATTTAAACACTTATCAGATACAGTGCCAGTGCATCAGTAGAGCTGCAATCAAACAGTGAATATTTAGCAGTTGCCCAAATATGGTTGCCTTTCTCCTTGAGCATGGACATTTCTAATGATGGTGGATGGAGGAAGTCAAAGAAAAATAGATGTCAGGATACAAATTTGCTTACGACATTTGACAAATTTTGATTGCAAACCTTGCTTCTTCTTTTGTCTTCAAGTTTGAAGGACAATCATGTGATTGATTTTTTTTCTTCCTTCAGAGAGATCTGTGGAGCACCAGCCCGTGTGGAGATGTCCACGGGTAAGTATATTTTGTGTAAGAAAGTCATGTACCTTCCCAAAAAATTTCTTCAACTTATTATGAGTTTATTTTGTAATTGATAAACTTTCGGTCACCTAACTTCCTAGTTACCAAGTCCTAACGATTTGTTCTTTTTCCTACATGTCAACCACCATCCTGGCTGTATCCTTCACAACTTCAGCTCGCCAAGGTTAGGAGAATCTTTACAAGATTTTTGTGCCATTTTTTAAAGTGTCTGTTACCTGGATTTGCTATTAGCTACTGTAAATCACTTTATAGTCGCGGTAACAAAATTTAGAAGTCTGAGAAAAATGGACATATTCGCAGAACTGTATGTTTGCGGTGGCGACAGGTGCAGAAGAAAGTTGGCAAACTATTTGTTCGTGGTAATGATAAATTTGTGGCACAGAAATGACATGCGAAAAATGCAAATATAAAGTGATTTACAGTATTTATTTTGAATGTCTGATTTTTCCATACTTGTGCATGGTACACAGAATGCACAAGTGTGCTACCGGCTGCAAAATAATGTTTGGTGTGCCCTGAAGTAAGAAGTGAGCCTTGAAGCAGTCTTCTTGGCAAATGGAAAATTGTTGGTGTCTCTGATGGCCAGATTTGTATTTTGCCCAACTTGTTTCCATTTTTCCTCTATATGTGATGCCCCCACACTGACAACACCTTCACTTTGGATGAACACACATGGTTGCAGCAAGGGAAGGTGTGGATTACTTCGCATTGCTACACACCCACCCTTAATGCACAGTGCACTGGGACTATCACAAGACTGTGCCAGCATATCACAAACTTTGGTCAGACAGCCTAAAGTAAAGGGAATTGTCTGATGAACTGTTTCCTAAAAGACCATTTTTATGTGTACACCATGAAATGTTTTGACTGTATAAATCAATGTCTTCATATCTGCTACTCTGAAACTAGCCTGTGGAACACAAACACATTAAGTGAAAGGAAAAGGATGTTGACATATAAAAGTTACACTGTAACCCATATTTCTGATAGATTTAGGAATATTGATATCTAGGCATCTATAGGGTACCACTATTGAATTGTGCAACGTCTCCCAAAAGACGAGGCATTGACAGTGACACACATACACTCACTGATAATATTGTTAAATTTTCATTGAACAGTTGAGAGGTTGCTTATTTTGCTTACCTTTGTTTTTGTTTCCCCTCCAATGTGACGGCCGTGTATTGACAACATATTCACTTTGGATTACACATTACAGCGAGAGAAGGTGCGTACGCAAGCTAGACATACATTTTGTGCATTTAAGCATATAGGTTAAACGACTTTGTATTCCTTGTTGGATACGAAAAATAGTGGCAAGGTGACAAGAAATTATTACCAAGCTAGAACATTTACATTTTGTTCATTACTCTTAAACTGAACTAAATGAAAACGAAGACGATCATTTTGATGATGCTGATGGTGTATCTCTGTTCTAACAGGAATGGGAGGTGGTCGACGCTCGCGATATGGCCCGCCGCCTCCGTACTACCGTCGTCCCTTTGACCCACTAGACCGTTGTTACGAGTGTGGCGAGCGCGGACACTATGCCCGAGACTGCTACCGCTACCGCCGCCGGTAATAACACATTTCACACTCTTTCTGCGATATACTGTTTACTAACGTAGCCATATTTCCTGGGTTATTTTCAGAAGCTTGCTTTGTGGCTCTTACCGTAAATTGTTCTCCCCCCTCATGTACAGTATTAGAACATTCCCGTCTTATGTGTTTGGTGAACATGTAAGTAGACTTTACTCTGCATGGCTTACAGAAAAGTCTGGGGCCTAATCTTGTTTCTTGTTTGGCTAACTGTATTTTTGCTGCTGGCAGAAGAGAGTGAGTATTTAGAACGACCAGGCCATGTTGATTTGTTACCTCATGTTTTACATACTGGTAAAGTGCTTTTTCTGTAAGGTTTCCATCCCATTTCTAAAATGTTCTTGTTGTCAGCTTTCAGCATTCTATTGATGATGTAAATCGCTGCAATGTGGTAACCATGATTTTGAAGTAATGACATTGTTGATGATTTGCAAAAAAAAAGACACTACATGAATGACCCAAATGAATTCTAAACGGTGCAATATACTGAAGAAAAGCTTGTGGCATTGGTAGCCAGTTAAGTAATATCTAAGACTCTTGATGACTTGTGATATGAGAACATTTTGGACATGGTAATGGTTGCCTTACATCTGTATGCGCATCTCTTATTGCACATGAAATATTTTTCTTTTCTGCATACTTATTATACTTATTCTGTGCCACTTGGTGTAAAACTTGCAGGCGGTTTTCCTCCTTGAGTCAGTTCTCCACACGCACCACATGAGTCGTTGAAAGTTCTCCATGTACCTTCTGTGGGCGCCAGGCGTGTGGCACACTTCCCTGATCGGCACTCGCCAATCAGCGTAGTCTACATCATGTGATCGGCGCTGAGCCAATCAGCATACAGTTGTCGCCACGCTCATGATCAGCTAGCCAATCCCAGCATGTGTTCCTCCCACACATCCACCAATCCGATAAAGTCGACCATCGGCCATTCAGAAAACGGCTCTCAAGTCAGTTTCGGCTCAGCCGTCGACACATTCGGCCCTTGTGTGAGCCCGAGTTGATCGACCTACTCACCCAGCATTCTACCATACCGTTGATTATGTGTGAGATTGTCCGACAATCTGCACTGTGCAGTGTTACGACAGTAGATTCGACTCCAGTAAACCAGGTGCCATATACTGTCTGTAGTTAAGTTTGCTGCAGTTAGGGTAGGTATGTACTGCACCACCTCACATCTTATACAGGTTAGCCACATGGCTAAGAACTATACATAAAAGTAGTTTTCAACTGTTTTTTTTTTAAACTAAATTTGAACAGCATGATGATTTAAAGACGACCAAAATTTTTTGGCAATTTTACAAAATACTGTTTTTGTAGAGAGAACACTGTTATTTTTCCTTTCTTGTAAAGAAGGAAAGATAATTTTTGCTGTGAGGATGGGAGGTGGTGAGATGCTATGAAAATTGCTTGTCCCTGCAGTACTGAATGTTGTGGAAGTTTTGTACAGCTACAGTTGACAGGGAGCACTTGTGTTCAGGCTGATTTGAACATAACTCTTGTCTGGTCGAAAGGCAATAAAAAATACTAATTTTGGCTAAGCATTGTTACCAACAAGATGTTGATGTTCACTGCATCCAATGTTGTGCATTGTTATATGCTAAGGGGGTTTCCTTGGTACATAAGTAAAATGTCACCAAAACTTCCTTCTCTAAAAAACATGCTGTCCAAAAATATACCAGTAACACTTTTTAAAAGGACTGAATGATCCACATTCTTTTTCTGAACCTGTGTCTTCTCTTTGTCTTACAAAAAATTCTCTGGATAAATTCAAGCAGTGCCAGTCTGAACTTTACAGATCATTTACTACAACTCTTTGACCCAAACTATCTTCCTGAAATCAATCTCTTACTTTTCCTTACTTCAAAACTGCCTACTACCTAAAAGACCTCTCCTTTCAATCACTGATAAAATTGTGACCAATCTGGTTCAGTCTTTCTACGAAATCTTGTCACAAGGCCCTTTGGGGGTATTCACTACTCAAATTCTCTTTACTCACACCACTAAAGTACGACGGTGCATGTAATTCTGTTCTACACCACACAACCAAATCTTGTTTCATTGGATCTTACTAAACACGTATTCATGACAGCATTGAAGTTCGCGCTGAGGCCAAATATGACTATTGCTGTATGCAGTAATCAGTTGTCAAAGTAGTTTGGGGGAATCAGTTTTATATAAAGACAGGCGTAAATGTTGCTTTTGACTCCCGTGTAAGCTACTGCAGGTCCATGGAAGAAGGCCAGGCCCAGAAAGGTTGACAATGTCATGCGAATGTTCCCACCGTTAACTCGGGCTGAGCTGACGGTTTGTTGTGTCTGTGCCCCCGACAGGAGCCGTTCTCGCAGCCGTGACCGCCGCCGCCGCACGCGGTCCCGCTCCAGGTCCCGCAGCCGCGACCGCAGGAGGAGCTACAGCAGGAGCCGGTCTCGCTCGCCCTCCCGCTCCCGCAGTCGGAGCCGCAGCAGGTCCCGCCGCAGCAGGTCCCGCAGCCACACTCCACGCAGCAGGTGGGTAGATTGTGATAAACCACTTATGTGGATAGGGTAACAGAACGGCATTGTCACCATGTCAAATGGAAAACTTCATACAATTGTCGTTCCAGGTCACAAAACTAGTGATTGGCACTTTGTAAAATTGTCACCTCTTAAACTATCATAAGCATCATGGTGTAAATTTGGTGTTGAGCTTTCTTGCAACTATAGACACTTAATAGATGTTCACATACTTTATATAAAACCTGTCTACTTTTGCCCAGTTACTATTTTTGATGATATAGACAGCCTTTTTGAACAGCAAAAATCTCACAAAGTTCTACCCATTTTCTCCCCAGGTCTGGCTCCCGGCGCGAATCGCGCTCCAGGTCAAGGACTCCAGAGAAGCGCTCCCGTTCCCCGTCACGTGGACGCAGGTTAGACAACCCTCCTCTTACCAACATGGATAGTTCTGCAAGCCCCTAATATGAGTATCATTTTAAAGAAACCATGTGTTTAACATCCTGTTTCATGATTGCCTGGTGGGTAATGACCATTACAAATGCATGTGAAGTGGTAGAATGTAGTGATGAGGCTTTGAGAGTATGCAATTGCCTCTTTAACATCGGTGCAAATGTGTAAGACCATCTTCTCTGTTGTTGCAGTGGCTCTCCAGACAAGCTTAAAGAGAACGGAGTAGATGATGTGCAGAAGGAAAACGACGACTGAAGCAAGCTACCTCCTCTCAGCTCCAGGCCAACTGGAACTGCAGAGAGACACAAACCTTTACCACATTTCATCTTGTAAATTTAGTGTAAGTGTTAAAAGAGTTGGTCGGGCTGTCGGGAGACCTTGGTAATGAAGTAGACATGAGCAGGCCTCTGAATCACAGCCCCCTCTGTAGCAAGAAAAAAAAAATGTAAGATAAAATTTTGTTTTAAAGAAATATGATGTTTGGTATTTCCCTTCAACTGTGTAAATCCTGTGGAGGATTGTGGAGTAAATGTGGGGGTTCAATAACCAATTCCATCAAATGTTTTCCATTGTGAAAGCATGCTACCATCCACTGGAAAACAACAATGTCAAGAAGGAACAAAAAAACGGTAATCTTGATTATTCAATTTGGTGGCATGAAAGTTTTTTAAGACTTGAATAAGAGGAAACAGTCGTAAAAACTTTTTCCTGCCACCATTTTGAAGATTTGGTTGAATCTCTGTGAGATGTCATTGTTGAAATCCTTCCTCCTCCAAGGATTTACTCTGAAAAAGGGAAGAAAAAAGAAGTTGAGTATGAGTATGACTAGTGCTGTACAAACATAGCTGGTATTGTTGGATTAAAGTGGTGAAAGAAACCTTGAAAGTCCTTTTGCTAGCAGAGCTGTTTGGCCCTATATTCCTGTATATGGAGGTGATGGCATTATATTATTGGAGAAATGTATCGCATATATCCGCTAGCTTTGGTATTACCTGTGCAGCTAAGGGATGAATGTCTAGTTGATGCTGAGAAATCATGCGATGCTACAGTTGAAGCCAACTTTTTTGAGCATTCATAAAAATGTGTCTAGTATAGTACATTCCATTACCTGTAGTTCTGCCATAGTCTGTCAAGAACAGTAACTTCCTCTGACCAAGCTTGTCTGCAATACTTCAGCCGGAGCTTCTAAAATAGATACTGGAAGAGACAAGTTCATCATCTTGAATTACTATTTGAAGTTTTCTTTTGGTGAATATGTGAAATTTATTAGACTGGTAGTGATATTGTGACAAATAATAGGTGTAAGTGGAGTCATACCGTGAGATTTCCTGTATATGGTGTAATAATAACTGTTAGTTGGGTTTTGTTATTTCTGTATAGGTGTTCCATGAACGTTAGTAACAGAAATTTCTGCAACTAGCTCTACACTTGTCTGAACCAGCTTTGGAAGCAGTTTATGATGTAGCCTTCTTGTCCAGTGATTTTCTGTTGCTTTTTCGAGAAGGTCCTTCTATTTCTTACCGCCAGTGCTTCGTCCGCTGTTTTTGAATGTTTGATGTGCTTTTAATAAAGATCACCAGATATCTTTGTGTGTGTATTAATTGTGCAACAGGTGAGGCTGCATATGCATGTGGAAATGAGGGGGGGTCAAATTATTGTATGGGATACTATTCGTTACAGTACACCGAGTTATGACGTGGAGCGAAATACTCGCATGAAACGTTACAAGTAATAAGAATAAATGAAAAGTTGTGTGAAACCAAATATCAGTAATCTGAACTGAATAAGTAAGCTATGAAGCACAGATGATTAAAAATATCTGACACCATGGCCCTTTTCTCACTAGGATAAAATGAAATTGGATACAGATGAGGACAATTATGTGTGGGGAAAGGCCCTCAGTAATTTAATTCCCAACCAAGACATTCCTTACGTCCACATACCCCGTATCTGTTCTTTTTTCGGCTGGTCAAACCTGGATAGGGAAGTCCCAAGTGTAACGCTCCCCAGGGGGCGCGAGTGTCGTGCCGACTTCGGAAACACTTCGGGCCTCGTCGGCTTTCCGAGTAGTCCCGAGTGCCGGTCGAACCGACGGACGGCCATTTTGGAGTGTGGGGGTGCGTTAGGTCAGGAGGTGAGTTGTAAACATGGCTTTGTGCTCCATTCTACTCTCGTATTCTTCATGACGCTGAATGAAAAACTATTTATAACAAATCCGTGCATCATTTAGCGGTATGGTTGTGGAGTTACGCGTAAGAGATACACCGATATCTGGATGGAATATAGGTCGCGTTTCGTGACGCCCTCCCCAGGCTTTGGTGCACCGGGCCGAGGCCCCCTGTAAAATTTTAAACCGGCCTTCGCTTGCCAATCTTGGTTCCTTTTATATTCCTCAAGTCACTAATTTAAACGACTAAAACTTGAAGGTAACCCATAATTGACAGATACATTAAAGTGAGGCCTAGCTTTGCGAGGGAACTACCTGTCAAAAATTATGCGATGGGCGTTCCGCTATAGAGCATGGGGGAGGGGGGCAGCCATACAACATGTGTAATAGCATTCGAAAATTACTATTATACAGAAGAAATTTGTAGGATCTTATCATATCTCCTATGCATGTTGATACTGATATTGAATCCGGGAGATACTGATATTGAACCAAGGTTTTAAACTTCCATGATATAACCCCATAAAATATTACACAGATATTTCAAAACAAACAAAATTAATACATGTAACGTTATTATGATTATTTACATAAGTAAGCCTTGCGCATTCATATTGATTTTTTAGTACTGAGTATTGTTATTATGTAGGAATGTTAGAATTTATGTCACTATATAAAATCATAATGACCTTGCACATATCTTTGATTATGCTCACTGCTCAGCTGTGTTTTTCTATGTCTTTGATACAGTATATAAACATGGGATATGATGTTTATTTTTGTACTGAATATGTTTGTTTGTTTGTTTACATAAGACCAGGGAGCAGTCTTCAGATACTATACTGATATTACGCCAACCAGCAGGGATTAAAAGGTTTGTACTTACAAAACTTAAGCTTATCTTTATTTGTCACTTTCACTGTTACCAATCCTTTTTGTTGCACATCTTCAATATTGATATCAATATAATTTGTATCTGGTGGAAGCTTTGGTGAATTAGGCATGATGATAGGCGGTAACATCACATATTAGTACCCTCATCTCACATTATTGTCTCACTCTGATAATTACAATATAATGATTTGCACTCTTCCTATGAATGATTGTCTCTCTAATCTAAACAAAAGTCTATAACAACAATTACAATGTATGGTGAACTTTATCAACTTTTGGTGGCTACAAAACAGTATCAAATTAGGAAGACTTGTCTATCAAATTGGCAGTGTCCAATATGGCACTGTAGTCTGGGTAGCGAAAAATAAAATGATACAGACTACTAATACAAAAAGAAGAAAACCTGATAAAAATGTATATAAACATGTCAAATATGAGATGGAGCCTAAAACTCTGCTTGGAGAGTACTAGTAACTAAATTGAATGTCCTTGACATATTGTACATTCTTGTTATCTTGTTATTCTGGGTGTGGTGGTTGTGTGCACTGCAGTGTCCTAGCTATTTTACACACCTGATTACCTCTACAGTATAGACAGGCACTCTATAGTCTATGCAGCTGCTGTCACGAAAATAATTGGACAAGAATTTCACCAGTAAAATACATGTATCAATCATTTTATACCAAAATTCATTGCATCATGCTGACTGTCCAGGGCTCAAAGTACAAATGTACTGGGTGCATATGCACCTTAGTGCAGGTAAAATTGGAGCTGTGCAGGTATTTCTGATGTCTACACGCACCTAACCTGCACTGTGTTTATATACAAATGTACGTAGGTGTATGCAGATTTTTATTTGTTCCATTCACTGTTACCACCCATGAAGTATAAAAGAAATGATTGCAATAGTTTCTGAACAGTTTTAATATGGTCCATTCTTCTCAAAGTCTGAGTGGTGCAGTAGCCTTATTCCCAGATGTGACAAGTTGCTTGGCATAAAAGACAACAACCAACTTGTGCTGTATACCTACAATGTTGTATGTACATGTACATGTATAATGATCTTCACTCCCAACATCTGCTTGGAGATAAACCGCTGGATAGATCCCATGCCAGGACATCTGAAAGTCACATTCAACTTCAAAGATTTTCATCCGTACATTGCACATCACAGCCAAATTTGGCAATGAAGGATATAGAGTAGAGAGATGACTGTCATATTCTAAAGCGTGTTTGGCAACCTTTTGGCACAGATAATGCTTTCATATTCAACGTATTTGAAGGTCACAATTTCTTTCATGGGCATTGCAAATTTGTGACACTGCAAATATACTTTGAAGAATGCACAGCAGTTTTTTGCAATTTGACCATTGTTGGTCATGTGTCCCTCTACTTGTGTCTGGAGCTGGTTTTGTCATGG